AATTGTATTTTGCAGCTTGCTGTTTGATATGGATGAAAGAAAAAGGGCTGCTGAGAAATAAAAGAATTTTATTACTGGGCTGCGTCCCGTTTGGAACTGGGCCGCACAAGTAGGCAAATGCTTGCAGCTCCACTTGCGCGACCGGTGGGCACACAGGCCTGTCGCTTGCACAAATGGGGCTGCAAGCACGAATGCACTCGCCCACTGCTTACATGGAACCATCCCCCCTGCCCTCCCCACCACCGGTCCGCAAAGCCAGAAAGGTTAGGGACTGCAGTTTTAAATGACAGTAAGTTTAAAAAGTTATTGGGTGAGTTTACTTCAAGTCTGAACAAAAGAAAAATTAATTCTAAGTTTAAGAACTCCAAAAAATTGAAAGAAACAGCAAAGAGCTAAATAAGATTTTGATCTAAGATGTTCTTTATGGATTAAGAGTTCAGATAAAGCAGTGGTTCTCAACCTTTTTAATGCCGCGACCCCCAACCAGTCGTAAGTCGAGGACTAAACCGGTTGTAAGTCGATGACTAAACCAGTCGTAAGTCGAGGACTACCCAACCGGTCGTAAGTCGAGGACTTTCCCTGCCCGGGAGCGCCGCGCATGCATGGTTCCGCCCCCTGCGCCGGCCGAGGCGTAGCTGGCAAGCGGCAGAGACGGAGCAGGCCGACCACCAGCTGGCCCAACCCAAGGGAGGTAAGGCACCCGCCGGAAAAGGGAAAAAATGGTGGTCAAAAACAATGGCGGACAAAAAAAATGGCGAACAGCCTTGCTTGGCGACCCCCGTGAAATGGTCGATCGACCCCAAATGGGGTCCCGACCCCAGGTTGAGAACCACTGAGATAAAGGAAGAAGTCGGTGCAATGGGATGAAGAAGAATTGAAGATACATCAACTTTTATAACAATAGTTGAGTGAATTAAATATTAAATATTAAGTTTGTTAGAAATAAAAGGAAGGAATGTAAAATGGTTTATTTGTTCTAGTTTAAAATAAGATTATTACTTTTTTTTTTTTGCAAAGTTCTGGCAAACCGTTTTAGACTTTTTGCTGACATCAGGATTGAAAAGTTGATGTTTTATGGATTGCTTAGAAATTTGCGTAGGGATGAAGACATATTGGTTTGGAAGAGAATAGTTACTAAATGGTCAGTGAAAATGATGGAATTAGCAGAAATGCCAAAATTAACTAGTTTAACTTAATGATTGAAAACCCTTTATGGACTTTTTGCTGAAAAAAAAAGAAAAAAGAAAAAATGAACAGCAGTTTTATGGAAAGAAGGAAACTTTGATGGAACATTAGAGAGGGGAAGGTTAACTATAAATAATAACAGTTAAGAAGGTCGGAAACCACCTTGTTAGTATTCTTTCTTTTTTCTCCTTTTTCTTTCTTATCTCTTTTTCTCATACCTGCATGGGGGCTTCTGACATGGGCTCACCTCACAAGAACCAGGAAGAATGTTTTTGCAAATCAACTGGCTTACGTTATCTGAAGGGCTTTAAACTAAAGGGGGAGGGGAGGGAGACAAATTTTCAGGAGCTAATCCCAAGGATAAACCTCAGGGCAATCAACCAATTGGTAATCAAAAAGGCCTCAGATGCCTATACACTAATACTCAATGAATGAGGAAAAAACAGGGTGAACTTGAAGTCCTAGTACATGAGAGTAAGCATGACATTATTGCCATTACCAAAACTTGGTGGGATGAAACCCGTGCCTGGAATGTACTGCTAGAAGGATTTAAACTGTTCAAAAGAACTAGACTGAACAAAAGAGGAGGTGGAGTTGCATTGTATGTAAGAAATGACTACACCTCTATAGAAATACCAAAAAAATGAAGAAAACCTTGGATGCATTTGGGTTAATATAAAAGGAAAAAAGGAATGACATTGCCATAGCAATAGAACAAAGGCAAACTAGTGTCCTAGACATTAAGAGAACTGATTTCAACAAACTTAGAGATTGGGAACGATCCTGTGGTTGGAAATCTTAAAGAGGAAAACAGCTCAAGAAGCTTGGGAAACTCTGAAAAATGAGTTTATAAAAACCTAGCCCAGCACAATACCACTGAGAAAGAAAAATAAGTGATTTCAGAGGAAACCAGCATGGTTGTATAAATAACTCTCTGATAAACTGAAATACAAAAAGGACAAATATAAGAAATGGAAAGTGGGATACTAAAGCAGAATATCAACAAATAGCCCAAATCTACAAAGATTTAGTCAGGAAAGCTGAGGCGCAGAATGAGCCACGACTTGCAACAAATATCAATAATAATAATAATAAATAAATCAATAATAATAATAATAAATCAATAATAATAATAAAAAGTTTCTTTCAACATGTATAAAGCAAGAAAAAAAGAAAATGATCAGTCCATTAATAGAAGAAGATGACAAGGATGTGAAGGCAGCAGGGAGAAAGCAGAATTGCTTAATTCATTCTTTGCAGCTGTCTTTACACAAGAGGGAAAAATAGTTCAACCTATCAAAAGCAGTATTGTAAAAAACAGATTAGAAATACAATCAAAATAGACAAGAAAATGCTAAAACAACACCTATCCACTCTAGATGAGTTCAAATCTCCAGGATCAGATGGATTATATCGCAAGATTATGAAAACGAGCTGGAAGAAGTGATCTCAGAACCACTGAATCATATCTTTTAGAGATCTGGAGCACTGGGGAACTACCAGAGGACTAGAAAAGAGCTGTTGTAGTTCTCATCATCAAAAAAGGAAAAAATGGATCCAGGAAACTGCAGATTAGTTAGACATCAATACCTGGGGAGATCCTGGAAAAAAATAATCAAGTAATAAATTTGCAAACACTTAGAAACAAGCCAAGCTATTACTAGAAGCCAACATGGTTTGTCAAAAACAGATCATACCAAACAAACTTAATTACATTCTTTGAGAAAGTGACTAAATTATTGGACCAACAAAATGTTGTAGACATAGTTTACTTAGACTTTATTAACGCATTTGACAAAATAGACTACAGCCTACTTCTTGATAAGATAGAAAAATGTGGGATAGACAGCATCACCACCAGATGGATTCGGAACTGACTGAGAAACTGCACTCAATGTATAGTCCTCAATGGAACTACATCTACATGGAAGGAAGCATGCAGTGGGGTATCCCAAGGTTCTGTCTTAGGCCCATAAACAATTAAAATGAGGGGATAAAATGAGAACTTTACAAATTTGCAGATGACACCAAGCTGGGCGGAATAACCAACACCTTAAATCCTAGACTCAAGATTCAGAAGGATCTTGACAGAGTTGAACACTGAGCCCTATCCAACAAAATGCAATTTAATGGTGAGAAAAGTAAGGTCATACACTTAATCAATAAAAACCAAATGTAACTGTGTAGACTAGATGGTACCTGGCTCAACAACATTAACTGTGAGAGGGATCTAGGTGTCCTAATGCAGGGGTCCCCTTTCCCCGGGCTGTACCCCACTATCGGGTCTTGAGCTGTTTAAAACCAGGCCACTTGTTCATTCTTGCCCACCTCTTGTGTGGAACCATCTCCTCTCCCCCCACCCCGCCCTGCCTGTCTGCAAAGCCGGAAAGGTTGGAGAACTCTGTCCTAGTAGACAACCACTAAAGTATGAGCTGATAAAACATATGATGAATAGTTGTGGAAACTGGATATGTCTAGTCTAATGAAGAGAAGGTCTAAGGGTGACATAGTCACAGTCTTCCAATATTTGAGGGACTGTCACAGAGAAGACGGGGTGATCTGTTCTCCAAAGCACCTGAGGGCAGGACAAGGTGTAACAGATGGAAGCTTATCAAAGTGAGATCCAACCTAGAAGTAAGGAAAAATATCCTGTCAGTGAGAACAATTGATCAGTACAACAGTTTGCCTTCAGAAGTTGTGGATGCTCCATTACTAGAGGTTTTTGAGAGATTGAACAGCCATTTGTCCAGAATGGTATAGGGTTTTCTGCTTCAGCAAGGTTTTGAACTAGAAGACTTCCAAGGATCCTTCCAACTCTGTAATTCTGTAATTTCTTTCTTTCTCACTTTTCTCATACTTTACTCTAGTTCTCTTATCTTAAAAATGTATATTATTTTTATTCTGTGGAAAAATATATTTAATAAAAATTATACATATGTGTATGTATGGAACAACCTAGGCTGATCCTGAAACTAAACAGGATTGAACCCAGTTTGTACATAATTGGGGGGGCACCAGTTAATTCCAGGGCTGTAGGCTACTCGGGAAAGTTGAAGAAAGAGATAACAAATTACTTCCAAATTGCTGTAAAAAATTTGACATGGTTGTATCCATGAGAGTCAGCTTTGATTTGATTTTTTTTTGTTTCTAATTATACATATGGAATATTTGCCAAGAAGGATGAACTTTCCAGTTTTGCAAAGTCCACATTGCCTGCTCAGTGAAAATGTCACAGCAAACAATGATTTGCTCTACAATCCATGATTTAAGCTTACAAAGATACAAAAGCATCCGAATTCAGACATTGGAAAGGATGCACTTTCTGGGGAATATTTGCAAACAGTTTAAAAAGTACTGGTGAAATTCCAGACAGTTGCTCAGTAAAGGCTAAAGAAGAAATTATGCTAGATATGCTAAATGTTTTTAGAGGGGGGGAAGTGTATGTATGTGTGGGTGTGCATTCATACGTGCATCAGTATGTACGTGAACCCTTTCCTTTCCTGCTACAATCTTCATAAAGAAATCCCCCTCCCTCAGCTATCTGTGGGTCTGGATGGAAAGCTCTTGTTTGTGTGAATAGTAGTCAAAAGGAGGGTTTGGTCAAGACCACAAGAGAGGAAAGAATTAAACTTGGTCCTATCTTAATACTCATCCATCATATTGTTTTAAATAAATGATTGCATAAATATATCTATTAATCCAACTACTGAGCAGCAAGTCTGAGTTGGTGCTGAGGAGGAAGCCTGCCCTAAGTGAAGACATGACAGATCTCTGAAAATTTTACATTTTTAATTGCTTTCATATTTTCAATGCAGCTAGAAAAAAGTGTCCGCCGACTACGGGAGAAATTCTATGGAAAAGTGAGCATCACGGATGCTGTGTTTCTGATGCGGACGTTCCACAATGATCATGAAATGGTCTGCAAGTACATCGTCCTTGATGTAAAAGAAACAGAAGGTGAATCTAGCACTGATGCTCATACGCTATACTGTGTGAGGGAAGCGGGAGTCCGTATTCAAACATTTTGGGCCATTCATGGTGGTTAGGGATATATCCACAGAGAAGGGAACAAGCTGAAGTAAGAAGCTCAGGGATTTCCATAGCCTGTTTGAAGATTCAGACAGTATCTCCTGTATTGTAGATTTTTTAAAATGTTTTCAGTCTGTTATAACTCTGAAATATCCTTAATCTTCCTGCTTGCATGTCCAGGCACAGAGTTGTTATTATTAATCATATTTTTTATATTTTTACTTCTGCAGCCTGTCTTGCCTCATAGGGACTGGAGGTGTAGGTATCGTATCTTTGTTATAAGTGCTGGGGGAAAGAAAGTTTAAAAAATCTTTCTTAAAAAAATTGCTTAACCAATCTAAAACCCACATCACCCAATTTAACTAACCATTGACGTGTGTATTTTCCATTCACCATGTACCTGGCCTTGCTTCCTTGAATTTCTTGGATTCTTTTTATTAACATATTCATTGCACCTTACAGGTTTGCAAATATGTGCATGTGGACATTTATTTCTTCTACTTATTTCATTTTGTTTTCCTTTCCTTTATTTTATTATTTGTAAAATTTATTAGCTGCCTATCTTACCACAAGACAACTTAAAATATTAACTTTTATATTTATGATTTCCTCTGGTATCAGGACAGGCAATTTTGATGACTGTTGAACATTGTTGGCATAGTTTCCCTCCTTTTTGAGCATACATATATACAGTATATCATCTCATATATACAATACTTTTCATCTGTTTCTCTCCTTTTTGAGGAGGGAAATAGATGAAAAGTATTGTATATATGAGATGAGAGAGAAGAAGGAAGGACCACATTCTCTCCAGTCCTTAGTCTCGCCTAAAGGTTGCCTGTCCATGTTGCAGTAAAAATGCAGTTGCCTGATTTTAAAGGACTTTAATGTATGGAAAACCACAGAAGTAATAACGTTTGCAGGGATAATGCTGAGAAAGAAGAATCTATGAGCATTAAAGATAAACATCAATACAAGTTATGCCAATTTGCTAATTTTGTCTTGACCTTCATCCCCGGTCAACTGCTACACGTCTGTGCATGGATTTCCATAAAGTATGCATTTCCTAGTTTCAGAATTAGAAATCTTCACGTTGGCGGGTCTGTTTATTTTAAATTTAATCTGCTCTAACTATGTATTCTTGTTCTTTAGGTGTAGATCCAGAAGATGGAGAGAAGCTCAGAAGTGATCCGATAGCAATGGTAATAATAGTAATCTGTTTAATTTAGATGCTCTGTTTCCTTCTGAGGAATGAAAGATCATATTGAAAGGGTTACGATGGACACTAAATTGGGAAAGGGAATACAAAGAACCAAACTAGTTTAGCCTTAGAAGGGAAACTAGCTGTCATTCTACAGATTAGTATGCTGTATATAGTATTCCATATGCTTTTCCCCCCCTCTTCCTGCTATTTTCTGAGTAAAGAGGAAGTACAACTGTTTTGGAAACCTTAAGAGTCATACACCCCTTAGATGTGCTGATGTGACTAGCCAGTTCTTGTTTTAATCATTTCTCCTCTCCACTGAAGTCAATAGGAAGGAAATCTTTACCCCAGATTTGAAGTTGCGGTGAACTGGAGCCATTCATGACCAAAAATGTAAGGTGGGGGTAACCCCATGTGTGCCATTTACCTAAGTTGCCCGTGCTCGATCCAGAACTCTTCCCTAAAATCTTTTTTTCCCTTTGGAATAATTTACAGTAATTTTTTTGTTTTTTAAAAATTATATATTTATAAAATAGTGAAGGGATAATGATGCTATAAATTCAAGTACATACATTTAAAAGAATATAAAAATATGTAATGCATACAGAAAATCAAAGATAAAGGATAAATATGAGTGGATAGCCAACCAATGTGAAATATGGTATGACTAATATATGCTAATGCATCATTAAAAGTTTTTAATACTTTTAAGTATTTTATACCATTTTCTAATCAAAACATTTATTAAACTTTACAGGTATCCGATTAACATAATTCAAATCATTAAAACAAAAGAGTAAGAGAGAAGCTCTAGCTGACAATTAATGTATTAAGACAATACACTCTGTCAAGATATAAATAAAATCTGAATTTTGGATGTAGCACAATTCCATGTATAAAACTCTAATATAAAAATAGAAATAGAATTGAATTCTATACAGCATTACTTTACTTTTTAAATATCAAATTCTTCTAGACTTCAAAGCATATGCCTACAATCTAGTTAGCTTTTACTGTTAAACCTTCACCAGCTTCATATTCTGCCATTATATGTGAGCTACTCTACCCATCTATCAGTTGTGGCTGCCAGATGTAACATTCTAGGTTTGGTTTACTCATTCAATTACTTGCCATTCTAATTTCCCTGATAATATGTTTTTGTGATTTGGAAACAGTTCTTTGTTGTTGTATGGTTGTAATTTCATAGCTGTCTATACTTCTGTTGTCTACTTTTTGACTTTAACTTTTCCCTGTGTTTTTAGAAAGTAGTGAATAAACTGAAGAAAGAAGAGGAGCAGAATAAACAGGTGATTAAGGGAGGAAGCAGAGGAAAGGGCAGCTACAGTTATTACTTTGGTAACATTTTTTTCTACTTTATTTAGATCAGGTTCGCTGAGAAGTTGCATTGTCAGTTTGAAGTTTTAAGGAGAGAAAATCGCATGGTTAATTTTTTTAGGCAAAGCTAAAACGCTTTCTTTGTCAATTCCTTTTAACAGTTAACAGACTGGTTAGCAGTTTAATCATTTGGCATGACGAATGTATCAATTGTTGATAGGTAGCTCTTAAATCATAGGTGTGCAGTGCAAGCCCTGTGCTCAGAAGCACTTTTCTTAACATTTTCCAGCTGCTTCTAAGATTTTTTTTAATTTGAAAAAGAAATTAAATGGAAACCTAAGATATTGAAAAGCAAATCATTAGTCTCTCAGCATTATTATTTCCAGGCATGCCTCTGAAGCCCCATAGAATACACAGACATTATTGGGAAATTAAAGAATGAGTAACCACAGCTCTCTGTGGTTTACACATTAAAAAAAAGGAAAGTGGAATGGGAAAGAACAACTTTATCAATTGTTTATTTAAGTTATAATTTAACACTGTTATGTATGAAGCTTAACCAATGTGTAGCTTTTAATATATATATATATTTTGCAGGAGACCAAAGGCAAGGATGATAAGAAGATTAAGGTGAGAATAGAAATGCTCGAATATGATGGAACAAGTTTCTCAGTGCTCCCTGTGACAGGCAGGTGTAGTATAATTCCCGGTCCAATCCCTCTTGGAAGTAATCTCTCAGGATCTACCTGAGGCCAATTCCCCAGTCGGCCAGACAGGCTTCGGAACTCCGTAGGTAGTGATGGGCTGTTTCCCCTGTATGATTATCTTGATTTGGGTGGCAACTTGATGGTCCACCAGAGAGCTTCAAAATGTTGTCTTGGGGCACATATGAAATGGTCAAAGTGGTGTAATTCGTCCACGTTGTTGTCGTGTAGGGCCACGAGCCAGTCAGCTATGTCTTGGTCTAATGCCAGGGTCATGCAATGCACCTGGCCACATCGTCTGGGAGGAAAAGTCCATATTGTTCCAAGTAGACCACAAACTACTTGTTGGTAAGCTAGAAAAAAGTGGGATAGACAGCATTACCACCAGATGGATTTGTAACTGGCTGACAAACCATACTCAACAAGTATTTCTTAATGGTACTATATTTGCATGGAGGGAAGTAAGCAGTGGGGTACCACAAGGTTCCATCTTAGGCCCAGTACTTTTCAATATCTTCAAAAAGGACTTAGATGAGGGAATAGAAGGGGAACTCATCAAATTTGCAGATGACACTAAGCTGGCAGGAATAGTCAATACCACAGAAGACAAGCTTAGGATCCAAAAAAATCTTGACAGACTTGAATAATGGGCCCTATCCAACAAAATGAAAATTAATCTGGAGAAAAGCAAGGTTTTATACTTAGGCAAGAAAAATCAGAGGTACAGATTAGGTGAAAACTGGCTCAAAAACAGTAACTGTGAGAGGGACCTTGGAGTCCTAGAGGACAGTCACTTAAATATGAGCCAGTAGTGTGCAGCAGCAGCCAAAAAAGCTAATACAATCCTAGGTTGTACAAACAGAGGCGTAGAATCAAAATCCCATTAAGTATTAGTACTGCTTTATAAAGCCTTAGTAAGACCACACCTAGAATACTGCATCCAATTTTTGTCACAACTTTACAGAAAAGATGTTGAGACTTTTGAAAAAGTGCAAAGAAGAACAACTAAGATGATTAAAGGCCTGGAGATTAAAACACATGAAGAATGGTTACAGGATTTGGGTTTGGCTAGTCTAGAGAAAAGAAGCACTAGGGGGGATATGATAGCAGTATTCCAGTATTTGAGAGGCTACCACAAAGAGGAGGGGGTCAACTTATTTTTCAAAGCACCAGAAGGCAAAACAATAAACAATGGATGGAACCTAATCAAGAAGAGAAGCAAACTGGAATTAAGGAAAACTTCCTAACAATGAGGACAATTAAGCAGTGGAACAGCTTGCCTTTAGACGTTATTGGTGCTTCATTACTTGAGGTTTTTAGAAAAGAGACGGGACAGCCACATGTCTGAGATAGTATAGGTTTTCCTGCTTGAGCAGGGGGTTGGACTAGAAGACATCCAAGGTCTCTTCCAGCTCTATTCTGATTCTGAATCATATAGTGCCAGACCTGGGCCAAAAAGTAGCCCAGTCGTTTCAGTCTTCCATCATACTTCACCCCAAGGGGGATGATTGGTGTTCTCCCCAGCACGGGAGGATGACTGGTGCTGGGGGCGCGGATAGGGCAGGGTAGCAGCTGGGACTGGTGTAGTAGCGGGTGCTGGTTAGGTAGCCAGTGCCACTGGTTCAGATAGCACTGCCACCGCCACAGCCAGGATGGCAGCTAGGGCTTGTTCCACCAGGATGGGTGGGTAATGTATCCCAAACTCCTGGAATCTCCCTCTCAGATAGTTGAGTGCTTGATCGAGCGCCACAGCTTGGAGTCCTCTTTCAACAGTTTCATCCCAATTCAGGGGCCAGTGAGTTTGGCCTCGGGAGCCTCACATGACATTGAACCCCAGAGGGGGTTCTTCTGGTTCCTCCATCCTTCCGACTCCCCTCAACCAACAGGGCATTGTTCCTCCCAGTGAGCCCTCCTGTCAGTCCTCTGGTATCACGGGCGGGGGCATTGGTCTCCTTCCTGCCACCTTTGGTCAGACACCAAACTCAAGCTTCCCACCCTGCTGGGGTCCCAAGATTTCAGGTTCTCCCTTCGCCCCGGTGTCTTCCAACTCTTCTGACTCCTTCTCAGGCATATTCCCATAATCTCCAGGTAGATCCGGCTTAATGTTAGCCATCCCAATCTGGTCAATTAGAAAAGAAAGACTCTCAAATCCATTATTAATGAAAGTACACTTTACTAAACCCAAGTGGTTATAGTGTAGCAAAGCCGGATCTGAGTTTTCACACTCAAGGCATCTGGTTAACTTTTCCCCTCTTCTCACCTTTCCCCCCTTGGTTATCTCTAATTGCCAATTACATTAATACAACTTATTTTTGTTAACAGTCCCTGGCTTGGCAGGCTGGATGATGCTGCATTCCGTAGTTTGATCTTGGAACTCTCACAGGATGGCACAACAAGTAGTTTCGATTCCCCTTATGCTAGCTCCCTCCCATGCCTTCCTGCAGCTCCCTCCCCCCACTGTATATGGCAGACTGGCAGCTGGCGAAGCATGGCTGGCGCAGCAGGATGGCAGTTTTGACATCAGCTCTATTGTTCCCCAATCAAATCTGAGAGAATTTAGTTCCCATTAGTGCTTTCCTGGGCAATAGATCTCGGAAATATATCTAGTAGGCTCCTGTATGAGTATGATCATTACTCTCTGGAGAATAACTCCAGTGCCTGGCCAAATATCAGAGCACTACAAGAATTAAAATAGGAAAGCTACCTAAGAGTTGGAATACCTAATTCTTCATCCCTTCATGACAATACTTTTAGATATTTAATGGTGAAGTAAAGGAATATTTATTGATGTTCCAACACATTGCAAAATAAAACATATTTAGAAATATATTAGAAGTTCTATTAAATAGCTTCTTTTCTTACTAATACGTTTCTCCACAGCATCAGTCAGAACTTCCATATACAAAGTCTTCCCTTCCCTTCCCTTGTTGATGAGACACATTAATTTAACTATGGAGAAAATACTTGGACGTTTAGTATTTTGGAGCACTTCGGATTACTTCCATGTCTTTGTGTTTTCCTTAGGAAGTTGCTAGACAGCTGATGCCCTTGACAAAGGAGAACTTACAGATGTTCAATAATGCCCAAAACAATCGCATCCCTCCAGCTATTCGCCAATTTGCCTGCCAGTCCTGTGACCAAATGTGGTGGCGTCAGGTCCCAGAGAGAAAACAGGTTGGTATGATGGCCTTAATGCATGATCTTATCTGATAAATAATGATTGCTTAGCCTTCAAAGGAAGGTGGTCCAAGGTGACTTCTGACTATACTGTTCTCGTGGCCTCACTGTCTTCCTTGCTGTTTTCTCCCTACTCTTGCCTAAATTGAAAAGAAAAAGACCAAGTAAGCATGTGATAAAATGGTCCTCCACTAAATTCATATGCAGCATAGAGATTAGTATGTTCACCTGTCATTCTCATTTTAAATGGAATTGGAGCAATTTTTTTGCAACTGGGAAACACATTAAAAAAAAACCTGTAGTCTCCTGCAGTGTCATGGCTCCTTGGATTGTTGACTTGATTATCTAACCAGTGGAATAAAACCCATTTTTTGAAGCTGTTTGTGTTTTAGAGTTTTTCAAAAGCAAAATAGGTACATTAAAGTTATTGGACTCTTTTAGCCCTTATTTTAAAGAAATATTTACAATGAGCCTTTCCTCATTGGTACTGAAAATCAAATATTTCCTGCCAAAGATCAGCAGTGTGTCCTCAGAGAGCTTCCAGGAGCTAATAAAATGGGGCTGGGGGTTGAATGAGGACCATGAATTATCCAGCTTTGCTACAATTTCTTTGGAATGGAAAACTGTAGCATAAGTAACTTGGGGATGTGTGTATGAGCTTTCCCAGGGTTTCATTCTTTATCTCATAGTTATACCAAGGACTAGTTGAGATGCACCCATCCTAAGGTCCACTCCACAGCTGCATTTTGCTGTAGGGAGTCAGTATCTGAGTTGTGTCTGCTATTGTTGCATCTAATTTGATCCTTTCCTTCCTTCCTTTTAGGAGACATGAAACCCACCATTATCTACACAGTAGCCAAATTTTGCATTGGTGTAATTAAAATTATGAAAATGACTTAAAACCCTTATTTCTTAAAAAAGATCATAATATGCAGATTTATACAGGTAGTCCTTGGGTTATGACTATTTGGTCAGCAACTCCTCAGAGTTATGACAATGCTAAATGAGAGAGATTTACAGTGACTTGTAATCTTACAGTCCTCATTTAATAATGACAACCTTGCCTGCCAGAATTACCTACTCTAAGTGATGTGGCCACATGCTTCACAACTGGGTGGCTCAGCTACACAATTCCCAGTCCCAGTTGCTGTTGTAACTACTTGTAATCACTTGACATACTTCATTTGAAGTAATGTGTATTTACTTTACAAACTATTATTTTAGATTCACATTTGACAGTTTATTTTTCTGCATCACTATAGTAGTTTAGTTGCATATTAGCACAGAGACTTTCTGCCATATTGGTATTTTACCTTATTCATTTTGTTCTGATGTATTGTATGTGATCTATATTATTACTGGTCATTGTCAGAATAAATATGCTGCGTCTGCTTCTGGATAGCTCCCATTAGTCGTGTAGTATTGAGTCCTAACTCAAAATTTATAGCTTGCAACCTCAGGAAACAAGCTTTTTCCCATTACTTCCTGCACTACTGCACTGGATGAAATATAGATCCCAACACATTTTTCTTGCATTTTCCCCCCATTAAATAGACTGATTGCCAACTTTCACCCCTGTTTCTCAGGTCATATTTTGTACTAACCCAGCTGGTGCTTCTGAGTTCTTGAAAATGTCTGTGATTCCCATTTGGTAAGGTCAAAGCAGAAAAGAAGAGAAGTGGGTTAGAATTACAGGACCTTGGTTGCAGCTTGCAAATGAAACAGATTGCAGTGTGGTAGGACTGCAGGAAAGAAATTGGTGGTTTTAATCAACCTTAGCACAACGGTCACAGCAGCAACACACTGATATATAACTCTGACAGAATTTCTGCTCTTGTGACCATTACTGAGATTATTTTGATAGTTGGAAGCTTGTTCAGCTCTTTGTTTGGTATCTTTCACAGGTGTCCCGTTGCCGCCGATGTCGAATCCGCTATGATCCAGTGCCATATGATAAAATGTGGGGCACAGCAGAGTTTAAATGCCCCTCATGTGGCCATACTTTCAGGTGAGAGGCAAACCCTGCATGGCCTGGTATAGTTATCATCCCCAAGTCTTAAATGTAGCAAACCAAAAATATGCAGTGTGATCATTGATCATCTTTTGTTAGGCCAATTGATATCTAGGCCTCAGAATGATGTGTTAACAAATCCTGAATGACAAGATGTGAAGGCCTTCAAATCTTTCCTTGGTATTTAGAACAGAAGAACTATCTGAATTTTGGGGAAAGCAGCCTTCTTTCCTTGGGAAGAATAAAATAACAGTTTGCCTCTTAGAAATAGGATACTCTGTGTGTTTCTAACTGAGCTAGCTAGAACTTGGGATGGTGCTTTTTAGAATCTTCAGTCTGTTCATAGAACACTCCTATACCTAAGAAGCATCTGTTTGCATTATGAATAGAATAGAATAGAATAGAATAGAATAGAATAGAATAGAATAGAATAGAATAGAATAGAATAGAATAGAATAGAATAGAATCAGAGTTGGAAGGGACCTTGGAGGTCTTCTAGTCCAACCCCCTGCTCAGGCAGGAAACCCTATACCATTTCAGGCAAATGATTGTCCAATCTCTTCTTAAAAACTTCCAGAGTTGGAGCATTCACAACTTCTGGAAGCAACTTGTTCCACTGATTAATTGTTCTAACTGTCAGGAAATTTCTCCTTAGTTCTAGGTTGCTTCTCCCTTTGATTAGTTTCCATCCATTGCTTCTTGTCCTGCTTTCAAGTGCTTTGGAGAATAGCTTGACTCCCTCTTCTTTGTAGCAACCCCTGAGATATTGGAACAGTGCTATCATGAATCCCTAGTCCTTCTTTTCATTAAACTAGACATACCCAATTCCACAAACTGTTTGTTATATATTTAGGCTCCAGTCCCCTAATTATCTTTGTTGCTCTACTCTGTACTCTTTCTAGAGTCTCAACATCTTTTTTACAGGCCATAAAGTTTTGTTGCAAGCAGCCCAGAGTCACATATGTGAGATGGGTGGCTATATAAATCAAATAAGTAAAGGACCTACTACTTCTTTCTCCCCCATGCAGGGGATCAGCTCAGATGGGGATACCATCTCCTTGCTTCCAGTGCCATACACCCGTACTTCCAAGCTTTATCCTCCCACCTCGAAAGTACCCAGGACCCCGAGGCAGACAGCAGCATTCCTGCTTTGCAGAGGATTGCTACAACCGATCAGGTGAGATTGGCTGTGCCTGAATCTTCAGGATCCCGGCCATGTTCAATAGACAGTATGAGTGTCATCTTCTGGGATGCTACAGCAAATTGATGTTGGTCATTGTCAGCAAAAAGGCAGTAAAAATGTGATTTTCATTTTTCTTTATTTAGCTGGTTTTAATACCTTATATAAAAAAATACAAACAGTACCTTCTGCAGGGCTGTACGGAATACTTTCTGGGGATAAATACAAAAATATGACAGCAGGTAGGCAATTGTGTTGGGCTCACAGGATTGTTCTGGTTATGGATTCCGTGCCCTCTATCTGTGTCAGCCCTGGGGCTTTGGAAAGGATCTTGCTGTTATCTAGAAAAGGTGAAAGTGGAGGGGATCAGGAAGCAAGGTAAGCTAGGGTCAGGTTTCAACTTTCATCAGAGGGGCAGCAAGCAGCCATTGTTATCTGATCTTCTCTTCTCTTGCAGAGCCTCATATTCCCGGAACCCATTGTGTTCATCCACGAAGCCGGGTCAGGAATCGCTTGCCAAAAGTCCTCTGTCCCAGCGAAGAGCATGATAGCACGGGTTCCACAGTAGCCACTTGCATAAGCCAAGGCAGCCTGGCATGTTCGAACATCAGTGACCTCATCTTAGAGGATCTGAAAGAACAGGATGAGGAGGACGATAGCGAGGGCAGCAATTAGCCATCCGTGGGCTTGAGAAGCCAACCACCTTACGGGAGATGGGCAGAAGGTTGCAAATTAGGTAAAATGGCATTTGTATGGAGTCTTGCTTTATATTCTTCTGAACTCCATGCCTATCTGTTCTAATTATGAAAAGTGATTTGCTTCAAGCCCAATTTGATACTATAAAAAAGATATGATGGGGACTGGGGAAGCTTTGTCGTCATCACAAAGCTCATCGACCTGCGCTTTAGGTTCATGGGACCAAAACAATAAAGATGATGGAATTGGAGGATCCCAAGTAATAAGCTAATTGATGAAGAGAATAATTCTCATTGTGATACGTTTTAATTATTGAAATATGAAACTGAAAGACCAAATGTTTTTCTTAATTAAAAAGGGCAAGCAAATACCCTCCAAAGTACTTGTATAATAATAGTAATGCTATTCAAGTATTAGTTATACCATATATAAACCGTCTTTCTCTGTATATATTAGAGAATTATCCTCTTTAAAGGGCATCAGAGTGGGGGGAAGCTAATATATACAATGCCTTAAAATTGAGATTTTTAAAATGGAAAGCGTTAATATGTCTCCTACTGTGCAGATATTTTTTTAAAAAACAGTGATGAATGCACATAACAAACTGCAGTGTATCTTTTGTTGCCCTGGTACATTAAAATGCAAATTAAAATATTTTTGCTATGTCTGATTTCACCAACAAAGGTCCTACTATTAGTCTAAAATCAATCAGAAGTTGCCTGCAATACCACCTGGAAGGGGATGTTGAGAAACTCACAAGATCTGGACCACAACTATTCCCTTGGAATTACTAAGTGCAACAACTGTTCTTTAAGAAACGTTAAGGATTGGTTTGAAGAGGCAAATGTCCTAGATTCTGTTTCAGACATTTCCACATGGGAGCATCGGGGGACCTCTGCAAGAGACTCAAGGGAGCCTGCCTCAGAATAGACATTGTATGCTAGATGTCCAAGATCTAGTATAAAACATCTTAATCAGGACACAATTGTATATGTAATATAGCTTTATGCATTCACTTCTTATTCTTACTAGGGGAGAGCTGAGATGAAAACCTGCAGAGGGGAGTTCCTAGTAGGGTGACACACAGATCTGCCTGAGAATCCCTTCCTTTTGCTGCTTTGCTACAGCCTTGTGATTGGACCACATGAATGGAAAGAATTGTCCCTATATAAACATCTAAGAGGGGTTAAAACAGTGCTTGGAAAAAAAAGTGGACAAGGCAGTGTTACTCATAATAAATTCATCTGTCTTCATTTGCAGGATTTCTGTTTGCATTTTTTTATGTTCAGGATTTTATTTTCTGAGCAGGGAAATAGAATATGAGCCACATCAAGTGTTAAAAGATCCAGCAGAGTTAATAAAAGCACCCCTTCAAAAATAAACCCCGGGATGACAATATATTTACCAGGAAGTAAGAGAGTGATCCAAGCAACCTCCACTTCATTGCTGTGTGAAGGCCAGTTTTACTTCCAGTTTCCATCTGTAAAAACTGGGCAAGAAGACTAGCCTTTAATGTCCAAAAAGCATGCAGGCAGGTTGGAAATGACATCATTACCACTGCAAGACTCCCAGTTGAAGCCAGACTGGAGAACTCCACTGGAGGAGTGAATTTCTCTTTGCACAATGCCGGGTTAAGGATGAAGGTGCCTTTTCAAAGCTATGTCCCCACATGCACTTAAACACTGGATAAACTCACCCTGGCAACATTTTTTTTTTGCCCTACCTTCTTAATTCTACATTGTGTATAAGACAGATTTAAGACGTCTTTTGTTGTTCTGGTGATGAAAATATTTTTCCTTTACGATAACATTTTCCAAGGTCAGCCTCAGGATGCATAAAATCTAATTTGTGTCTTTGGAGGACTGGGTCAATTGCAGGGACCAGGGCTGGCAACCACAGGGAGAGCAAATTGGATGCTAGTATTTTCTGTCAACTCAAAGGTGGGTGATGAGAACTATATCAGGAAAAAGCCAAAAATATTTTACTACTGTACAATATTGCTTTCTGCCACATGGTGCCTCAATATACTTTTTCTTTCTTGTTTGCCAGATTTCAAGGACTTTTAAAATGATTTAAAGTACTATTTGAGATATCTTTGGCACTTTCTTCTTTTGATGAAAGATAAAAGTAATACTTTTTTTTATGAAAGAATGGCCTGAGAAGCAGGTGGGTGGGTGTGGGGGGATCTGTGAAGTACAAGGCTCTCAGCCAATCAGTGCATTACACAGACAGTTAAAGATGTTTCTCCTGAGGTCAGATAATAAAAAAAAGCATGGTGTGTATCCAGAGTTCAGTGAATTCTTTTGTAAAGTACATCCATCTGGATTTTGGTCTGCTTTGTTGTCTTTTCTGTGGATAAGAATGGAACTTAGTTGCCTTGCGTAGACCGGATCATCATTACCACCTTACGGAGGGAGTAGGCACCACCATGAAACTCTGCCCAGTAGACTCCGTCCTGATAGCGGCTTCGGTAGTGACCGCCCTTGTACCAGATGCCATTGAGATTGGAATGGGCACACATATTGTACCACCAACCGCCTTTCTGGTAATGGGCACAGTTCCCTAGGGAGAAAGAATAGGGGGAGAGGGGGAAGAGATCAGAACGTGAAACCATGAATTCAGATGCCATTAACTTTTGGTAACCTAGGGCAAAACTGGGCAGCCACTGGGTCACATGGAGTTTAGCTGATGTTCCTTGGCCTAATTGAAATGACTTTTGCAGATAACACATTTAGACATCAAGCAAATCCAGCAAATGGTATGAAAGGAGGGAGGGAGGGAGGGAGGGAGGGAGGAAGGAAGGAAGGAAGGAAATCACTGACTCTTGGGCCTGCCTTCCACTGGCTTCAGCCCAATCTAGTGTTAGCATTCAATGCAATCTCTCAAAAAATATTGAAAAAATATGGCGCTTCCTTGGCAGGAAAAAGGGTGCCCACAATTTCTTAAGACCTTCACAGGCTGCTGTCCACCCTTATCTTTAATATGAGTGCATAAGAAATTCCCTTACATTCATTCCAAGCAACCTTGGAAAATGGATATTTATGAATTTTTAACAAATATTGCAGGAAAGTTATGATCTGCTTTCTCTTTTAATTTGGAGCTTAATTAATGTGGTGCTGCATGTTTCTGTATATATTCATATACATTCACATATTATCCAAACTTTACACAATACCATATGCCAAAACTTGAGATAAATGTTATACTGCATTGAGAAAGTATCAGTTGATTAGATAAATTTGGGTAGCATTGGCTTAGCAAGTTTCTTGGACAGCAACGGTCTGCAGCTATGGCACTAATGCAAAAGTCATCCTCTCTCTCTCTCTCTCTCTCTCTCTCTCTCTCTCTCTCTCTCTCTCTCTCTCTCTCTCTCTCTCTCTCTCATGTTCACCAATGCAGTCAGTATAGGTTATCCTATACAAAACTGTACAACACAGTGATTATTTTTATCTTAGCAAATGCTTTGCTTAATGACCCACCTCCCAGTCCTAATTGGATTACTAAATGAGGACTACCTGTAGATAAATCAGATGATGTTTTATTGGTGCAGTGTGTTTCTCTCCAGTTTTGCTTTGTGTATCAAGCAGCATTTGGAATGAACATAACTTCCAATTATTGGAAGAAAAAAAAAAGAAACAGTTGGAACCAATTTTGCAATGGTGGAAGACAAATGAGAGAGAGAAAGATATTCAATTGAAATTGAAATCCTTTAAATGTCCAGTCTCCCTTCTAGAAATTTGAGGCAGAATTAAGCAAGTTTACTGCTGCTATAGAAATATTAATTTGCTTCCCACCTAAGCTCTCCTTTAATATCTTGTGAATCGCACATTCTAGATCAGGGGTGTCAAACCCGCCACGTCACGTGACATGTCGCAACATATCGCAACTTTTTCCCCATTGCCGGAGCTGGGCACGGTGGGCACGGTTTCGGCATGACGCATCCGGCCTAGAGGCCGGCAGTTTGACACCCCTGTTCTAGATTCTCAGTGTTCTTTAACGTAGCACAATTCTTACTCTTCCCACTGCTCAACAAAATGGGAAATAAGAGCCAACACTATGTTTTAAAGACAGAAGTAAAACCAATGGACATCACTGAAGCTAATATGATATATACCTTGGGCCAGAGTACAAGTCAACTGCTAAAATCATAAAACAGACAAGGATTTTCTTTTGCAGCCATTCTGCCCCAAATAGAAAATTCTGTTTAGGCAAGTGGAAAACCCAGTTTGTGCTGACTTGCTATTTCTTTCCCTCTTATTTTTTCCCCTATTGTGATTGATATAAATTACGTCAAAAAAATCTTCAAGAGGAAAAGACAGATTAGCTGCACAAGGCCTTTTGAGTCTTCTACCTGGAAATCTTTGATTTTCTGGAAATAAAAAAAATTAGTTTTGTCTCCTAAAATGAAAGTTTCTGCTGAGGCAGCATATCTAAGTAGATAATGCATTTTGCAGGAGAATAGAAACCTCCAAGTCTCCTTGATGTACATAAGACAACATATGGCCTTTATAAGTCAAAATATTTTAAACTGGCTGAAATTTGATTATAAACGTAATCATGGCTTTGGGACCAGTTTCATCTCTTTGTACATTTAACAATCTGGGCTTTTTTGAATTAAAGATATGGAAAACACATACATATACACATAGTGTGTTGTTTTGGAAAAATAAGCCAGCCCTTTAATCATTCTCTTCAGAGACAGAATAATTACCTTTCCCAATACTCTATCCTTATGGTCTGCATATGTTGATTTAGCTTAGGGATTAATGAGATGCAAAAGTTGCTTTCATTAGAAAAGAGGACTTTGGACCACTAAGCAACAGACCAGTTCTGTTTTTCTTTAGCCCAGGTAAGACGCTTCTGATGTTGTTTGTTGTTCAGGAGTGGCTTGACAAGAGGAATACGACATTTGCATCATTACATGCAAAGCAACATAGTTCAAGCCGTGATGTGTCATAAGTAAGATGATTATGGCTTACAGCTCATGAAAACCCCAAATCAGAAGCGTCTTACCTGGGCTAAAGAAAAACAGAACTGGTCTGTTGCTTAGTGGTCCAAAGTCCTCTTTTCTAATGAAAGCAACTTTTGCATCTCATTTGGGAACCAAGGACCCAGAGTCTGGAGGAAGAATGNCATGCCGCATTGAGGCAGTAATTGCTGCAAAAGGGGCCCAAACCAAGTACTGAGTACATATGCATGCTTATACTTTTCAGAGGTCCGATATTGTTCTATGTACAATCCTTGTTTTATTGATTGCATGTAATATTCTAATTTTCTGAGATTGTGGATTTGGGGTTTTTATGAGCTGTAAGCCATAATCATCACAGTTATGGCACATCACGGCTTGAACTATCTTGCTTTGCATGTAATGAGTCTATCTCATATATTAGGTTCACCTTTTAAGTTGCATTACTGAAATAAATGAACTTTTGCACGATATTCTAATTTTTTGAGTTTCACCTGTATGGCTAATGGAAGATTGTAATTTACAGTCTTCTGGCTTCTAGTCCATGTCCTTAAACATTACACCAAACTATTTTTTATCAATAGTCTTTCCTGCTCGTTTTTTGATGTGTCCTTCCAGCAGTTTCTGCCAGCAGTTATGCCCTCTTACCTGAGTAAGCGTCATGGTCTTGGTCAAGAGTGCTGAACTGTCGACCATTGTGCCAGGAGAGAGAGTCTCCAGCATTGCCTTGATATTTGCCCAGCCGTAGCCGATAGAAGTCACTCTTGGGCTCCAGAGCGAAGGTATTGTATTCAGCATATGCCTGTCGCCCACTCCAGTCTTCCATTAATATATGCAACATGTATGAACCCTGGTGGGTCAGCAAGTAAATGAATTCCAGGCCCAGCCAGTGCTCCCCTTCCAGGTTCCCAAAACCATTCTAAGAAAAACACAGCAGGCAAATGATTACCAGGTGTCATTGAGATGGATGACTCTCCCTAGAGTACTTCTGTGGTGGGAAATTACAAATTTCATTCACAGAACATGCACTCATACCATGCCAGGTGAATACCCAAAATAATCGGCCATCCAGACTCAACCCTATCTCCTTCCTTTGCAAAGAGATCATCTGGTATCTGTGGAACCGTTAGGACGCTTAAGAGAACAGCCCTGTATCCCTGGTATGCTACTAAGGCAAAATGTGTATTTTTTGGCTTAATGTATTTTGTGTACCATGATTTATAGCTTAACATTATGGAAGAATCCATCCATTATCGCTTTCTCAAGAACTAAAGTACAAACAATCTTAGG